AATGACTGGGGCAGTAGACATTTGGGTAAGAAAAAGCACAGTATGCAAACATCAAAGCTTAATTAATGTACTGGACACCTGGAGAGAGAGAAACTGTAATTAACTATATTTCTATTCCCTTTCTGTAACTGTGGTGTGTAAGCATATGAGATCTGTAACCTTTTTCAACAGAGAGAAATATCTGTTTCTCACTCAAGAGTACCATAATTGTATCTGGTGGAGGCTTCACATTTAATGTTATTTTACTGAGAGATTTAATTATATTTTGATTAATTTAACATGTAACAATATCTGTTTTGTAATTGCATGAAAAACTAAACAAAACAGTAATCTGTGTTTAATGCAGTAATGTATTTTTTGCTCTGTATTGTAAGTGTGTATGAAATTAACTGTTCCAACTTTGGAATTGCTCCCACATGATAGGGATGCCTGTTTATTGCGAAGAGCATTCTGCCATTTTTGGAAAGGCAGATCTGACAATAACATACTGAAAAAGCTAGGGACTAACATTTAGGGTCCTATGGGGAATCTCTCTCTCTTAACAAATGGAGGGTTCTGTCATGACTTTACAACCAAAACTGCATTGCAAGAGCTGAAGAGTTGGAACTGGCTCTCTGGCAGAGACACACGAGCATAAAGTTGTCGTGCTCGCGAGAGGCATAGGCCCCCAGAGGACCCTTAGGCGGAACCCTGACCCCCAGCGTGGAGCCAGGAGGTAAGTAGGGGACTGCGGCAGGTAGACAAAGCAGGGGTAGTAGGCAGTTGACTGGAGCCAAGGAGGGTCATACCCCCACCCCCAGCTCCTACTTAACCCAGCCCCACCAGGAGCCATGCAACCAGAGCATGCGAACAGGCATGTTCTGGGTCCTGTGTTCGAGTTAGCACAGGACTTGTGGGAAGGCAGGACAGAGCCCAGGGTACCAAAGCCCCCTCCCCCCACAATGAGCAAAGTCCTCCAGCACTGGACATCAGGAAAAGGGGATGAGGGACCTACTCTCCCCCACTCCAGGGAGGGACCCGGGGACTCTGGGAATCCTCCAGCTTCTTGGGAAGCTGGAAAGCTAATAGATCCCCACCACAGGCAGCTGCTCCAGCCTGCCTGCTAGGCCACAACAGCAGCAGCATCTGGTAAGGACCACGTAGGGGCAATAACACCCACCCATCTGGTCTACTACTTATACCAACACCTAGGCAGCCATACTACCGGGGCCACCTTGCAATATGGTGATAGGTATGTGCCACACCTCCAGGCTTCCTGGTCTGGATGGACCACCCCACCTGGTACCTTAGAGGCACCCACCCAGACACAGCCTATGCTTCCAGCCTCCACCAGACTGAGCCCTTGTCTCCAGGCTGCAGGGGCTGCCTGCCATGCCTGCTGGTCCCTGGGACCAGGGGCATAAGCACTCCCCCTTGTGGGATGTGCTCTCTCTGGTGGAAACTCTGGAGGGCTGGGTGAAGGAGCTACAGGAGGAGGGTGACTTCAACTACCCTGAAATCTGTTGGGAAGAACACTTGGCTGCCTCCAGCAGGTCAGCCAATTTCTTGGCAACAATAGACAACCTATTTCTGACACAGGTAGTGGAAAGGCCTACTGGGATAAGGCTATTCTGGATTTAGTGCTGGCCAGAAGAGAGAACATCACAGGTGACCTAAGGATTGGTGGTACTCTGGGAGATAGCGATCACAACCTGGTTAAGTTCAACATCCACTGTAAGACTGGGAAACAGAAGTCCTAGATTTCAAGAAGGCAGACTTTGGCAGACTCAAGAGGCTACTTGGAAAGGCCCTCTGCATCCAGCAACCAGACAACTTGGGAGTTCAGGAACAGTGGCGCTTCTTTAAGGAGGCAATTTTTGAAGGTCAAAAACAGGCCATTCCCAGGCAGACAAGAAGTGGGAAATGAGCCAAGAGATCCACTTGGCTCTACAGGGATGTTAGCGAGCTGCTGAACAAGAAAAAAGAAACATACAAGCAATGGAAGAAAGGCTCGGCAATCAGAGGGGAATACACCTGTATCGCCAGGACCTGCAGATACGAGACGTGGAAGGCTAAAGCAGGCTTGGAGATCAAGCTGGCAAGTGGAATAAAAGACAACAAAAAGTCCTTCTACATATACATATGGAGCAAGAAGAAAAAAAACAAAAAACACCCCAAAAACCAAAAAACCAAAGAAAACAAAAAAATCAGGCTCTACTGTGGGCCCCCTACTGAATATTCAGGGGCAGCCCACAGAAGATGCCTGTGAAAAAGCAGAACTTCTAAATATATAACTTGCTTTGGTATTCCTGAAATCAAACAGGGGCTTCACGTGGCCAGAGGCCCAGGGACAATTGGGGAACACAACAGGCTACATGAAATCAGTCCTGAACAGGTGAGGGATCTCCTACAATACTTGGATATTTTCAAATCTGCTGGGCCTGATGACCTGAACCCAAAAGTCCTGAAAGAATTGGCTGAGCTTATAGCAGCGCCACTAGTCAAGCTATCTGTGGAATCATGGAACTCAGGAGTGGTCCCAGACGACTGGAAAAGGGCCAATATGGTGCCCATCTTCAAAAAAGGGAAGAAGAATGACCCTACAAACTACAGACTGGTCAGTCTGACCTCAGTCCTGGGTAAAATCTTTGAAAAATATAGTAAGGAGGCCATAAATCACAAGCTGGTAATTGACAGGGTTTTAAGAAGTAGCCTGGCAAACCAGGTTTGCCAGGCTACATGATGCCTGGCAAACCTTGTATCTTTCTACAACCAGGTAACTAGCTATCTGGATGAGGGACACGAAGTTGAAGCTATTTACTTAGTGTCACAGGATGGGGTCCTACAGGATGGCTGTGATCTCCCCAAGGCCCCCTTACCATGCCAAGTTGGCCCAATGGGCACCCTCAATTCTCGCCCACCATGTCTTTGATGGAAAATATATACATGGGAGGCTGCTTTTACATCCTCTTAGACACGATTTGCTGTACACTCTGACCTTGTGGACTCCTGGACCCCTGGTGGGTCCTGCTCCAAGATAGATGGCACAACAGGTGTTTCGGAGCACCCTAGCCTTATGGACTATGCATAGCTCCAATCACCCCTTTACCATGCCCCAAGCCTTGCAGATGGTAGCAACGTTGTTTGGTCTGGGCCTTGTTGTAATTTGGCCCCCTTATCCTCCCTGGGTTTTCCATGGCCCAGTCTCGCACTGTGCCTTCACTGGTGCTCGGGCTCTCCACGGCCCAGTCTCACACTACACTTTCAATGGTGCTGGGGTCAATGCACCCCCAAATGCTGCACCTTCTCTGGCACTGGGGTTGGTGCACTCCCAAATGCTGCACCCTCTCTAGCACTGGGGTCCCCCTGCTGCTGTGGGTCCCCTGGAGACCTCCTCCTTCTCTAAATAGCCTCACCCAAACCACCAGTGTTATACAACAATAGACAAAACACAAGCCCCTGAGCTGTAACATAAATTCAAGTTGCCCAGCTATAATGTCATTCAAACCCTACTGAGGAACACTCTGTCCCACAACAGTATCAGGAACTGCTTGTGCAGTCAGGCCTCTCCCCTTTGCTTGCTCTGAAAAAGCACCTTTCCCCTTGGCTACCAACAGGGAACTGCCTTCCTGGCTTTAGCCCTGGGGTTTATATATGAGCCAGGCACTGCCCCTTCTGGTCAGCTGACCCCTGACAGGTGTGGGCCACCAGCTCATTCTGGCTCCCCTGATAACCAACAGCTGGGGCTTCTACCTCACTGCTAGGGCTCTTCCCCTAGCAGTTTCAGCTTTTTAGAGGAGCAGTGCACCTTAGCATCCCACAACACTTAGACTTTGATAAACCCTTTGATTCTGTTTCCTACAGGATGCTCTCAAACAAACTGGAGGTTGCTGGGCTGGACCAGTCTACAATGAGATGGGTAGACAATTGACTCAGAAGCAGAGGGTGGTAATTGATGGGATGGCCTCATCCTGGAGGACTATCTCCAGTGGTGTCCCCCAGGAATCAGTGCTTGGACCTGTGCTCTTCCATATATTCATTAATGACTTGGATGAGAGAGTGGAGAGCTCAATGATTAAGTTCACGGACGATACCAAGCTGTGGGGATACACAGGCACACTGGAGGATAAGGACAAGATCCAGGAAGACCTTGACAGACTGGAATCTTGGGCAGAATGAAATCAGATTAAGTTTAACAGGGATAATGCAGGATCCTTCACCTGGATAGGAAGAACCCTCATCACAACTACATGATGGGTGGTGGTCCACTGGCTAGCACTGCATCTGAATGAGACCTGGGGGTCACCTATTGACCGAAAGATGAATATGAGCCAGCAGTGCGATGAGGTTGCCAGAAGGGCAAACAGAACTCTGGTGTGCATCAGCCGATGCATGGTCAGTAGATCCAGGGAGGTGCTCCTTCCTCTCTGCTCGGCACTGGTGAGGCCTCAGGTGGAGTACTGTGTCCAGTTCTGGGCACTGCCCTTCAAAAAGGACATGGATAAGCTTGAGAGGGTACAAAGAAGGGCCACTCATATATTCAAGGGCATGGAGGATAGGCCCTACAAGGAGAGATTCTGGGATCTGGGCCTGTTCAACCATAATTTTTTTTTAATCAACCATACATTTTTTTAAATGCAAGAACTGCCTGAAGATGTACAATGCAATTATTAATCTGGCCCCACCATTAATTTTGCCTGTACCTCAACCTCCCATGTTCCCAAAAGCCCTGACTACTAATTCATCTTGGTGATATACAAAATACCTCTCTCAGACAGAGCATGCAGACTAAAGAGGCAGCCATTTACCATTAAAACATTCTAGGTGCATCTAGAGGGTTCATAGCATCATGAATCCAAGCCATGTGGGAAGTGAAGTGGAAAATAACTTCTAATCATCAGTCTCCTAATATTAGGAAAAGATTATGAGAATGACCTCTCAAAACTAAGGAGGAAAATTATCTTTGATGCTCTAGACATTGTACAAAGAACAAATAGTGTTTATTTTTCTGCCTTCTACAGGATCTGCATCAGAGAAAACCAGACCACAAAGGACATGATACTTATTATGATCATGTCTTAGAAATGTGAGAGAAAAGAACAAGAGAGGAAATATTTAACAAATACCTAACATCTTCAAGTGAGGTTGTTTCTCAGCTCAAAGCAACATGGGAGTGGTCAAAGAAGACCATCTCTGTCATCAGCCAATCAGAGTGCCACAATGAGCCAAGAGGAATGTAGAAAAGGATGGGAATGCATGGAGGTAGCTCAGAATAATTACAAAAAAAAAGAAAACCTTTACTGGAATGAATGTTCAAAGATCTTCCTTTTCTTCCTCCTCTTTTGGCACAACCTAATAGTCTGAAGTGTATCCAGTTCCAGGCCTTTAGTCCCAAGATAACTTTTCTTACTGTGGCCATCATTTTAATGCACAGGTTCCCAACTACATTTCTAACCACAACAGGATATCAAAACATTGGCTTCTGGTAGCCCTCCTGTAAGCCCTCCAACCCAATGTAGAGTGTTTTGCCTTGGCATTCTGAACCTGCAAATGCCTTTGACCAGGCAGAAAACCTGTGTAAACACAACTGTAAGCTTTAAGGCTAAATGTTTGAATAGTTAATTTTATATGTGTGCACTGTTTGCATTTGACTGTTTAATTGTTATCTCAAGCAGTGTTTATTAATATTTTTCATACTTTTGCACATTTTAACAGTATTAATCATACCCATTGGTATTTGCATTTCTGTAAAATAAAGAGTAATTTTGTTCCATTGTAACATAATTTCACACACATTTCCTAATAAAAGTTCCCTAAAAGCATGTCCCAAGTCTAAAAGTACATTCCTTAAATTTAAGTTTTAATAACTTAATAAACAATGTTTAAAATAAGAAAGATAATAAAGATAAGCTGTCCATACAGAGTAAATGTAGCCCTCACCTACTTAAACTCTTCATGAAATAGTTTTGAAATGTGATTCATGAAATACTTTGCTAATGAAGTAAGAATGAAAAGGTTATACAAGTGGTATAGAGAGCATATCTACTGAAATTTGGAAGTAAAATAAAATTTAAAATGTCCCATCCTTGAAGTTGGAAAACAAGGCATGCCTTAGTAACTATCATTTTGACAGAGCCTTTTACTGACAGCTCATAACTCTCAGGAATTCCCTGAATCCACACCTCCCAACCTTTAGTAAAGTTCCTTCCCTTTCTCTCACAGATCTTGTACACCACACAGCATGCAGCTATAATAATGCATGCCAGGAATTCCTCAGCAGCCTCTAGAACGTTAAAGCGACAGCACCATCTGCCTTTCAGTCTCCCAAATTCACACTCCACCATAATTCTGCAGCTGCTTAGATGATAGTTAAAAAAAATTGTTATTGCAATCCAATCATATAGTGAAAGCTTCATCAGCCAGAGTAATAAGGGAGAAGCTGGGTCTCTGTGATAATTATGGCAACATTAACACTGTTCACAGTGATGACTGTGAGAGCAAACTGACATTTTTCCATCAAAGCCCGATGGTTCCTCAAGATCCTAGCATCATAAATCTTTCAGGTATTACGCACTAAAATGATGAACCTACTTCAGTGATCAACCTTGCAGCACAATAGAAAAGTACTTCTTTCCATTAGTAAATTCAGAGACTTGGCACAGAGAACAAAGAATATAGGTACCATCAGCTACCTGAAACAAATTGCAAATCCCTCTATGCAAAGTCTTCAAAAGCTTCCAAATGTAATGGTCCTGGCTAATTGCCACAGCTGGGACTAGTTTGTGACTCACAATTAGAGTAATAAACTCCACTTCATAAACTGATTAGTAACCAGCATTAGCAGATTCCCAGTGAGAAGTTACAACCAAGAGAGGAATAGACTCTTTCTTGACTAGACTCTTCCTCTGGCCTTCTGTTTTGTTCCTTCCTAACTCTTTTTAGTATCTTGGATTTTTGGCTCCTCACTTCAGTCTATTTTCTAACTTCCTGACTGGCTTGAGTCATGGCTCCTTGGCTTCTGCCTCAACTTCTGATTATTTTAGTTTGATTCTTGGCTGTAAACATCCATCCTTTGTTGGGTCAGACCACCCACACAGCCTGGTTATTATGCTGAGCCTTAACAAAAAACAACAGAACTATCTTGCTAGCAGTGCATGTCTCCATCCCAAGTGACCCCACTAGTTTATCTGCCTGCACCAAATTGTTTAGCCCACTCTGGTAAAACTCATAACTGTCCATATGGCAATAACTAAATCTTTCTGAATGATTAAAGGAACCCTTGTACTGATGCTGCAGCTTAGCTGTGAAATTTATGCAAGTCTACAGAAAGGTGTTCCTTGTCATCTTCAAAGTTTTCAGCTGCTGCTCGCCATCCCAGCTCTGTAGTACAATCTTTTCTCACCTGTCAAGAAACAGGATTGCTTTCAGAGAAGCTGCTCCAAGAAAAGTTCCTCCAGATGCAGTTAGTCTGTTTCCTAATCCTACTGGTGTACCTGCAGGTGAGTTGGGAGTGCTGCTACCACTGTCAGATTGCTGTAAAAACATGTTCAGTAATGCAGTGAAAAGTTTGAACACCTTAAAGCCCATCAAGTATCCTGTTGTTCCAAGCTGATGCATCCTTTCTAGCTGGTGCACTGTTTCATTCATGTTGGCAATTTGAAAATGGCTCTTGATAACCTAAAAAAAATGAGTGTGTGAGTGACTAGAAACAAATCGTGGGACCTTGTGAATTTGATCCCAGGTTTCAGAATTGCAGTTGTCTAACTGGTTTCCACTATGTATCCTACAATACACAATGCATGGGCACAGAAATGAGACAAAAGAATATAGGATCCCCTCTCACAATTTTGGGTGCTAAAAGGAAAAAATTCCACATGGAATCAATGTGGTTCTCAGTGTTTTTAGACTTAAGGTATTCCTTGTTAGACTGAAGGCATCCCTTGAAAAATGCCAGCTCTTAGCTTTCACTCACTATTTGACTACAGAAAAATAACAGAACAATACTTCTGTTGTAAAGAATTCAGAAAGACCATAACTGGTCAGAATCTTTTTGATGCTATGGATTCCTATTTAAAATGTCTGGATATATCTTGAATTGTATGTAGGTGTTTGCACACCTGGAATTGCATGGCATCTTAAAAGGATCTCAAGGCACCCCTGGGTTCTGTTGCACCTGGTTGAGAATCATAGATTTACAGCACACTATTCCATGGGATGTGTAGGGGGGACTACAGTCAACTATCTCTGTGTATAGGTAATGATCTACAACTCAATGTAAACTAGACTCCTGCTCCTCTCCTTTGTAGGCATACCTTAAAGGTATTATTTTTTATGTAGCCTTGGTTTCTTAAATTAGGCAAGTGTGTTTTTGTGCCTACTGCATTCATGCATTACCAATGTATATACAATTTGATTTGCATGCACTTGTGACTGGTTGACATCTTTGTGAGGCAGTTCATGCTCAAGAAATAATAATGCTGTAGCATCAAATTTAGCTTTAAATTGACTTCATAGGAATAACTGTAGCACCTTGGACAACCTTGGTTAATGCTAAGGACAGTTAAACAGGTTCAGTAAAAGACTCAAACAAAGACAGTAGGGCATCAGTCATAAATAAGATTATAAGGCTGTGAAAAATATTATGTCAAATGTAAATTAATACAACTGTTGTGTATTAAGTCTCACTTGATGGCACACTATGCAAATATTACCAAAAGAGGTGGTTGCTTAATATTGTCTCAGAATACATCCTAACTTCCCTTATTCAAAAACCTTACCATGAATTGGTAATAAATAGCTCACACTCACATCACCATCTCCTTTATTTGTGAGAACATGAATGGAAAAATGACCAGACACTTCTTCTATGTACACAAAATGGTTTCAAATAAACCCACACTCTCCTGAAGCAACTGTAGGCAGAGGGGATACCACAAACTTTCTGGGACGGCTATTGTGACCTAAATCTCTAGTCATACATATGCAACAGCTGGCAAAATATCTTTATTCTAGAGTTGGGTAATAATCCAACCTACTTTATGTTGGGAAATACCCTTTGGATCTCTAGAGAATGAAATAACAAATAAATGAATTTAAAGAAAAATAATTCCCCTAAACTAGATTTCTATTTCATCAAATTTCTACTTAATGAGTCAGGGGATACAGCTCCAATGTACACTAACAGGAGGTATTTAAATTAAACACAGCTAATTCTTAACAATGCCCTACAGCTAGCAGGAGAAAATACCTCATTTAACCATGTCTCATAGTACAAATGCCAGCTGCCTTGTTTGATTCCCTTTTCTTTCATAAAGGATTGCTTTTACATACTGCCACTAGTATAAAAGGTCCTTATGAAAAAGTGATTTACATCCTTCAGTAATAGGAAAGTAGATCCACCCCAAGTCTGTAATAATAGGACACTTTTCCACGTGCTCCAGGGCTGGCACTTTAATTAGAGCAGCTCTGAAAGCCACTGTAAGTAAAGCACTGCCCTGCCTTGTGTATCAGTATCTCTGAGCTTAAAAGTGGCTGTGGGAATGCTTGAACTAAAGCTCATTGAATGAGCTTTAGTTCAAGTACTTTAGTGAGCTTGAGTTCAAAGTGACCCCAAGCTCTGTAGAGGTCACCTTCATTTTCAGGAAGAAGTGGGATATCTCTACCTCTTCCTCCTGGCTGCTATAATTTAGGGATGCTTGAACTAAAGCTCATGACATTCAATAAGCTTTAATTCAAACATCGCCACCACCATTTTTAAGTGCGGGGATGCTGATACAGAAGATGCAGGAGGCTGCTAGCACACAATTAATTCCAGCTTGTCAGAGTTCCAGCATCTCAGAGCAGCCTGGGCGCTCGAGTATAGGCGCCCACAGTTACTGCTCAATGGGTGTTGCTCTCCAGTATGCAACAGATATCTTTTGTAACTTTGCCCATGTCACATGACTCAGGCCACATTAAAGAAAAGTTATATGTTTATTGCAGTTATAGAAATAAAAGTCATAACCTTTAAAATGACGTCCAAAAAGGTAGACTTTATACCCACTCAGAACTCAACTTATTTCAGAGTAGCTCTGGCAACATAACATGTATTGAAGGATCCTTTGCATAACAGAACTGGTTAGTCCCACTTCATGCTTGGGAGGAATGGGAAAGAGGTTTTGTAATTTAGGGACTATCTCATGACTATACTGGATTGAGGTAGGGAGATTCAGGTCCATCCTGTTCCACCAAATTCCAGCTCAATGTTCTGTTTGGGAGCAAGGGCACATTCACATTCTGGCTGCAGAGTGCTCTAAAAGAGTTTGATTCCATGAGGAAGTTTGGTCTGGATTTTTTTCAGCCAGTACTAGAGGGTGGAGAGGGTGGACTGGATAACCCCCAAGGTGGAGGGCTCCAATCCATGCTCCCCACCCTCTGGCGCTGACTGGGAAATCCCCAAAACAAGCTCTCTCTGTTCCTTTTTCACCCTCCCATTCTGGAAACAGCACATGGGCTGGGAGGAGAGAGCGGCATTGCTACAGGGAGAGTGGCAGGAGGTTCAAAGTCACTCCAGACAACAGCCGGATTCCCCATCCCCCAGGACACAACAGTAAACTTCTGCTGGGTCTGGGGGATCACTGCAAAGTGCCATGAGGTGCAACAGGGAGTTGCTCTTCTGCCTGCACCTTAAAGGGGCATCATCTTGCACCCCCTTAAGGTCCTATCTCCCTGTTCTCATGTGGGGTTTGTGAACTTCATCTCCAGGTATCCTGGTTTTCTCTGACAAAAAAAAAAAATCCCCAATGTTCAGATTTAAAAAAGTAACTCAAAATTTACATTTTTC